ACGATGATGCCACAAAATAGCGAGGCGAACACAGCTTCAATTTTCAATGACGCGAAGCTGATGCCACAATGATGCGATGCTGAGGCGACAATGAAGCCATGCGTAGGCGACAATGATGCCACAAAAGCCAAAGCTTCCGCGAGAACTGTACTGTACCTGGCTCAACACAACACACACATCATATTATACATACAATGTATGCACATGCATTTGCTTCTTGATCCAATTTAAGATGGTCGATTGGCAGCCATTTTTGTGCTAAAAATTCATCAAAATCCAGTGGAATCTGGATCTCTTTTGTGCATGGGCATAATTCATTCAAACTTGGTATGTCCAATACACATCATTTTTTTCTGCGTTTTATTCAAAGTGGCTGACTGATGGCCATTTTGTTTTTAATGGATGCTGTTATTGGAGCTATATTGCTTACATGGCTGGATTTATCAAACTTTACACATACATCATGTAACACATTTGCACATGCATCTGTTTCAGATTCTGATTCAAAATGACCAATCATAATTTTCGCGAGAAATGCATTATGAATATCATGGGCAGAATAAACAAATAAACTGACTTCATTTTGTAAATAATTATTAATTAATAACAACGTTTTTGCAAGAGTTGTACAAAAGGTTAAAACAGCAGTTCAACTTTTACCTAGTAACATCCTTATTTTTTAAAATGACCTTTGCTCCGGACTTCCTTTGTATACATGTATGCCGTGTATCCTCGAGGCCTTGCTATCATTGTAAACATGCACAAACATGAATAATTTCAAATACTGGTCAAATGTTGACAGGGAAACATATAGAACATTAAATTGATAATAATACTTTTAATATTTCATTTTACAGGATGTCTAAAGCTGCCGGAAGTGAATCATCAACGCAAGACTTCATTACTGAATCTGTTGTTGAATGCTTCCAATGGGAGTGACAATGACAGCGGTGAGAGTAATACCACTACTGCAGACACAATAACATCCAATGGAAGAAAGGTAAGCTTGTTTGACCTCGCTTGTACTGGTGATGTTTATCAACAGCTGTGGTTATTGTTTATTATGATTCAAAGGCATCCCAGGGCTGTTGTTTTTATTCAGCTGGCCTGTGACTGTGTGTAAGGTTTTATTTCTTTAGTGATTGAGTAAGTGGACGTGGCATTGTTGTATAATCTAATTTGAAATTAAAAAAATGTTTAACGTTCTCTTTTGCAGTTGATAGAAGCAAATTGCACCACAAGTGGTAGTCGTATGAAAATAGCACCGCTACTAGACGTGACTCGCTACGATGCCGAAGTGAATGCCCCCTTGAAATCGACTCAAGGTTTATTACAAGGTGAAGACTTGCTACGGGCTCTCGACCAAACTGCTAATAGGGCACCTTCCCCACACAGTGTGTGGTGACTGAATAAAACACGCCATCATCATGCAAACCCAATTCATGAGATTAACATAATAACTTTAGACTTAGGCTGTTTGTTGAATTCACCTATATCAAGAATCGGTGTGGGAGAAAGAAAGAGAAACACTCAAACACAGACAGATTGGGATCAATCAAATGTGAGCTTGTATATAATTAAATTATTTTTGTATTTGGCAAAGTGTTCTATTTTTGAGAAGAATGCTGCCTAAAGTTGTGTTAATCACTGCGGAAAATGAACAGAGTACATGAAATCTATCACAAGTGCCCTTGCTTGCTGACAAAGCATTTCTGAAACACACCTCATTTTACCTTCACTATGTTTTGCATCATATGACACATACCTTGCCCCCTACCTAAACTGTTTTAATGTGTTTTTTTTTTTTTTTAAGTGATCGTATTAAACGTTTGTGATCACGTTTTGGATACATATATAAAAAACACACACAGGGTACTCACTACATACTTTTGTTAACCTTTAATAGTAATCTACTATCCAGTAAGAAGACAATATATTATTCTAAATACTTGTATAAATTTTAAAAATTATTGTATTTTGTTGGATTGCTTGTAGTATTTTTAAGAAAATACAAATAAGTTGTAGTGTTGTGCACCTTTTGTTTTTTTGCTGTGTTGTGTTAATTCACAGCCACGACCCTCTTACTGGAAGTTGATCAACATGGTTAGGCACAGTGAGCACCATGTGTGGAATTTCCAGACAGCCTGTTTTGCTTCTGTGTCCGGACAGTGTGCCGAGTATATTTTGAGATCGTAAATTTGTAATATTGACCGCTTGTTTTTGACTTAAAACTGTAAGAGCAAAAATTAATACCAAGAAATTGTAAATATGAGACAACGCAAGGGTGAAAGGGTGTAAACTGTCTACAGTGCATTTAGCTGAACACATTGTCAAACTGTTGTCTGTGTTCATTTAAGAATAGCGTATGAATGTGAAAGATTTCCTGTTCAGTTGAAATTAAACACTTTGGTCTATGCCAAGTTCATATAAAGTTAAGTCACCATGATGAAC